TTGTGTTGCTGTTTACATTCCCAATGAGTATTTGTCAATTTGCTCTGAATTTTGTTTAAAGTAAATGTTGATATTGGTGCTTTGACGTGCTTAGCTGCACCCCCTCTCAGACTTTCTGTAGAAAGCCATTAAGCTCCCATTCACCTGAACCTCCTCCCCTTATAGATACCCCTCTCCCCCTTAAAGGTAGCATATTAGAGCGGTGCACCGATACTGAGAGCCAACAGGGGAGAAGAAACCGTTTAAGGTCTGCAGGCTCAAAACAAATCTCAGTACTGTAGTATAATTAAACAGTTGATTGTATAGCCATATGTTGAACAGTGACTTCATCTTTCCCTGGCAGCTCAAGCTGTTAACACATCCCTTTGACACACAGCAGCAGTATGAGTGTGTCATATATTGTGTACAGGTTCTGTAAAAAATAGACATGTTAGGAATTGACAGTGTAAGAAAGAAGTGTATTTAAAAAAAGCCCACAGTTTGATGGTTTATTAAATGCATGAATGTTTATTAGGTATTTGAAGATGAATGAGGTGGAAGATGTGTTTCATGCTCCTAACTCCTCCAGAGTGAAACAGGACAGCATTAATACACTTTGGTTGTGCACAGGAGTCTTATATTTAAATGATTGTTTTAACATGACAGTTATGTCAGCAGTGTATGTCTTTCTGCAGCAGTCAAGTTGTAAAATACTGAACCACCTTATTATCAAACCATGGATTTCTGCACCTGAGAAACAAGAGGACAGAAGGAGGCAGCAGCATGGCCTCCGGCTTTATATTGGACAGAAATAGCTGAGCGATACCACTGTACTAACTAAAGTTACACAGATTTGAATTGCCAGAGAGACCGGAGGTAGTAAATCAGAATCAGAATCAGAATACCTTTATTAGTCCCACAGAGGGGAAATGTATGTAGTTACAGCAGAAAAAAAGAGCCACAGACAGCTTAATGTTACATATGTTACATGCATTAAAAAGTACTAAGTTATGATATAATAAAAAGTTACATCATTTTCAAAATACACATCCTGTTAGTTCTTAGGAATATAGGTATATATAGCACAGTTTTACCGGCATATATATATATTACACATACATATAGCACATATTGCACATATTGCACATAGTTGGTTAGTATTTAACAGCAAAGGGTGTTATTATAGTCTGTGTTGTGGTGTGTGTGTGGGGGGGGCGGTGAAAAACATGTCATATCTCCTCCGGGCAGATCAGTCGGCTGCTGTCACTGAGGTGAGTTTCGACACCCCTCTCAATCATACCGTTTTAGTTTCATGGTTTGCTTTCAAATAGAGTGTGGTCTATTGAAACTGTTTTAATGTGTTTGATTGGACAGTTAAGTAAAGTTGAATGGTCAGTTCACCCAAATGAAGGAAGTTTTCTTTTTGATCTATTACCCTTTAGAGGTATCTTGGCATGCAGATAGTTTTTATTGTTGTTGTTCTAGTTATGTGTGTCTCAGATTTCAACTGTTTGTTTTACTCGAAAAATGTGAACTATACTCTTTTATCCAGTAAGAGAGACATTGTTTTTTGATAATTAATTAATCGTTTGAGCCATTTTTTAAATAACATTTTACAACAAAATATCCTTGCTTCTTAAAAGTGACTCATTTTACTGATCTTCTTTGTCATTGTAGACTTACTATCCTTATTTTGGACTATTGATTTGACAAGACCCTATTTTCACTATGTTCTGAAATAGTATAGGCTAATCATGAAGGTCATTCGCACATATCAAAACATAATCAATACAAAAATGTAAATTAGCAGCAGCCCAAAAGATATTCAGTGTTTAGAGCCACACATACTAAATGTCTTTCAGCCCTGTTTTATGGGGATGGTGGAATACACCTCAGACACATGTCCAAAAAAAAAAGATCTTTGTGGAAAGGCGGAGGATAGTAAATAAGTATATTATATTAGCAAATGTGTTGTGTCATTTGGGTGAACTGACTGACAGACTCTTATGCTGAATTGAAATGAGACTGCAGGCCTCATCGTCAAAAGAAGCTCAGAATACTAAACTAAAACTACGAAACATGTCTGATTCAGATCAAACATTAGATAGAAGTTTTTCAAGCACTTGCTCTAAACTTGCCTGGTTAGAAAGTGATGGCTTTATGGTAAGAGCCAATGAATATGGATGTACTGAGAATAGTACATCTGAAAGTGCCTTAAAAAAATTACGGGTTTTGGCAATGAGAACTTTAACTTTTAATTTAACTTCTCATGCAAACTCAATATTCCAGCACAGCTCACATTAAGCATCTTTGATCATTCATGTATATAAATAGCTCCACTCTAATCCTGCTGGCGCTTTATATACGGGAGACTAGTTCAGGTCTTTGACCTCCAATCCACACATGTCATGCTCCCACTTCCCCTTCGAGCAGCGAGCAAAACCTCTGCTTACTTTCAAACCTAATCTTAAGCCAACAGCCAATACACACAAGTAGTATGTGTGTGTGTGTGTGTGTGTGTGTGTGTGTGTGTGTGTGTGTGTGTGTGTGTGTGTGTGTGTGTGTGTGTGTGTGTGTGTGTGTGTGTGTGTGTGTGTGTGTGTGTGTGTGTGTGTGTGTGTGTGTGTGTGTGTGTGTGTGTGTGTGTTGCGTTGTGACAGCTCTGCTATGCGGGGGGACTTGGAGTGATGGCCTTGTCCTGACTGGCTTTGATGGACACTCTCATCAGGCTTGGATGAGAAGTAAATGGAATAGGTTACAGCTGAATGCAAAGGGAGAGAGTAGGCTTCTCTTAGGACCATAATATTCTGACCAAGCATCCTGCACAACCTCTCAAGCCCTAAACATCCGATACTGTGGAGTGCAGTGGACGGTTTATATGATTGCATGAAACTGCATGTGGATCCTCCTCATCTATAGGTGGGTTTCGCCTGTCAGTGCCTTTGGTTCAGCTTTATTCAAGTCAGTGTGCAGTGGAGCAGCTTGTGTGTCTCTTCACACATTTCTTGAATGTAAACCGGCCATTAATTCAGGGGAAGAAGATTTCCCGAGATATGTTCCTCGATTTTACATCTAATGTGTTTATCACTGAGGATGCTGGAAATGATTGCAAATTGGATTTAGGAGAGTTATGAAACTGATTTATTTATTAGACACACTTTCAGTCAATCTAGTGTACATTTTCCTCAATTTTTAATTCACTTACAGTATATTTCCCACAAGCCAAGTGCATGCTGCTTGTGAAATACTAATATATTATGAATAAAAATGCTAATCACCATTTGAGAATCACTCTAATAAACAGGTTCTTTGCTAAAAACAACGACTCTGCCCGCTAAGGACAAGAGCATAACGACCTTCACAGCACAGCAAGAGCGGCCGATAATTTAAACATCCTGTTTAGAGTTGCAGATTAAGCCAAACACAATAAAGCACCTAAAAAATGCACACTTCAGTCCAGTGGAAAAAAAAGCGGAAGCCTGTAGGTAAACAGATGAATAAGCGGATTTAGGCTGCAAGAATGCCGTGAACGATAGCTCTCGCAGGGAAACAAACTATTTTTGTCACACGCAGCGCAGAGCTGCCCCACGTCTTCCCATAGTCCTGAGTCGACAGAGAGCGATGGACTGTCCCTTCCTCTCTTATCGGAGCTGCTGCAGCCCCATAAGGTCTGGCTGCACGCCTGCAGAGACAGCCTCTCTCCTTCTCCAAAGACACACACACACACACACACACACACACACACACACACACACACACACACACACACACACACACACACACACACACACACACACACACACACACACACACACACACACACACACACACATTGTTGCATGCACACTTGCTGTTGAATTTTACATAACTGCATGAGTCTTGTAGGGATTTGCATAAAATGAGGTGCTCACTTTTGTATTCATTTTTCATTTTTTTTCATTTTTTAAGCCAGACGAGCATCCTTAATGTTGGGATGGCAATATTTGGTCAAACGGAAATAACTCAATAACTATAGGAAGGATTGCGATGAAATCTTTCGCAGATGAACAAGTTAACACTCAGCTACAGCAGTTGGATAATTGATGCATTGTATAAACATTTTATTTAAGATTCCTTATTTTCATTATTGATTTATTTGTCAACTTTCAGTTAATTAATTAATTGGTTTTGTCTATACAATTTAACAATGCAGTGAAACACAAATTCCCAGAATTTGAAATGAAAATTTCGAATTTTTTAAAACCCAACTTTATTGCTTTCCAAGTCACAAGGAGAATCAAATCTGCCTATTTGAGCAGTTGATCAATTAATTGTATCCTTGTTAATTGAAGAAGTTCATTTTCTAATGAGCAACTATCTTTTTATTAATCATGTATTCTTTCCTGCGCTATCCAAGTTGCTACTTTTCTTTGCTCTGCTCTTCCGTCTTGTATTTTTTAGAGTATCATATAGGTTTTTGCTGTTGAATTACAAATCTATCATCAGAGTACAGTTTTACATTTTCCTCGAGTGTTGGGAGGAATGTCATAGTGCATGGAATACTTTGACGAGCACGGCTCAAGAGTGTATCGCTGATATTCGATGTAGTCTTATCAGACTACTTCCTCTCACTTACACACAATATTCACATGTTTCCGTCTGTCACTCAGCATTTATTTGAATTTCTTAAACCCCTATGGCCACAGCTGAAGTGGGAGCATTGAGTCTCGAGCGGTTATTTATGTGCTGCTGCTGCATAATAACACCTTCTCTCTTTAATTCCAGATGTTTAAGACTACGTTATAATTTCCTACTTCTTGTACATTTGGCTTATTTTGGTCCTTCATGTGTCCTTTTCCTCTCTTCCCTCCATCTTTCCTACTTTTTCCTGTGTTCTACTCTCTCCCTATGCTTGTTCTTATGTCTCCATTACTCATCTCTCTGTCTTCTGATTTATATTTGCAATCCAGCCCTCTCAGGTAACTCATTCCTCGTCTGCGTTCTCTAAATACCCAAACTCTCTCTGCTTCCTTTTCCCTCAGTGTTGTTGCGTGAGGAGGTGGTCCAGCTTCAAGAGGAGGTCCACCTGCTAAGGCAGATGAAGGACATGTTGAGTAAGGACCTGGAGGAGACCCAAGGAGGCTGCTCCGCCAACCTGCTCTCAGCCACCGAGCTGCGCGTGCAGCTGGGGGACAGGGAGCAGGAGCTGGACCGCGCCAAGGAGGCCCTACAAGGTCAGGGGCCCACACAAGCATCTATCTCACCTACTCCATCCCTTAGTGTCCCTTCTTTCCAACAGCTACTAGAAAAAAACAGCATATACAGCTGCCAAAGCTTTCAGTTTGAAGTGCTAGCCTTACTTGAATTCCATCAAGCCAGCATATGTTGTAATGCCATGAAATCCACTTTATCTAACAAAAGAAAATCAGTCACAATTGCAATGGACAAAAGCTATTTAAAACATTTAAATACGTAAACCAGAAGAAACATATTGTGACAATTATAACACAATTAAATAAAATCATCATCAGTCTAATTCATTATTTGCCGAATCCTGATGTCAAACTTTTTTGTTAATCATCTAGGTGTTCCCACTAACTACCTAACTTAAATGTTTCATAATGAATTGTATACATTCTCACTGTTATGCTACATTTCTTGATATTAAAGATGCCAAACAATCGATGCAAATATGTCCGATAAGTCAGCTTCATTCAACCCAGTTTGCCCCAAAAGTTAACAAGATCAAAATTCTTTTTTTTAAGTATCTTGTTCTCATTGGAGCATCAGATGTTCTTTAATTCATGTGAAACAAACAAAATATAATAATTTAATGAAGATATTTTAACCCATTTTAAGATCAACATAATTATGTACTATATATATAGTGCAAATTCTTCTGACTAGCTTCCAGTTTTAGGATTGAGTAGCAAAATACCAGTGGTATTAGCACATCAAGATATTTGCTCTGCTTACATAAAATAAATAAAACCGTTTTCTCTAACACACAATTTCCCGCTATGTACACACAATTGTGGTTCAGTCCGCTCACTTTTCTTAACTTTATCAAACAAGAAAAAAAGTCTTACCAAAAAACCTCTGGACTGTGGGAAAATGTCTTTTTAAATCAGTTTTAGGGTGAATCTCTCAGTCAGTTGTGTCTTGTAAGTGCCAACGTTTAGAAATGTGTTTACTCAAGTGGCAACAGAAGAGAAACCTGATCCTTCATGTTTGGATCTCATTGGTTTTGTGCGGCTTCACCAGAGATACTGTGTGTGTTCCTGTGTTTCGACATTGTTCAGTCTCAGAGATGGGTGTCGCCCCTGATGAGCAGCCAAGTAGACTCCAGGTTCACCTAATTTTAATGAACATCCATCAATCATGCAATAGAGGCTTTACTCTGAAATATTAATGTGGTATCGATGTGGAATGGAATGTGGCGCTGATTGTGTTGTATTGGATTGTTTTTATTTCTTGTATGAAAACAAATCCGACCATAACGATTTCTCCAACATTTCTCTGTCGGGAGGGGAGTAAAAATAAATCAGTCCTACATTAAGGATAATTACCTGCCACAAAAATACAAGTTAGGATTGAAACTCAGTGGTTGATTTAGTTTACAGCTCCTGTTTAGCATATTTCTTCGCTGCTCTGAGTTGCAGGTGGTAATCTTCAAACTCGTAAACTGGGTTGTGTAACTGCTGCAAAACAGGTTTGAATGTCAAGTGCAAATTATGAACGTTGCCTGGAGGAATGCCTCCTGAGTGACACATGTGTTCAGCTATGAAAGTACAGGTTCCAGTCTTGCCTTTACACTGTCAGAGCGTTGTTTTTAGCGTTAGCAGTTGTATCATAGCTGTTGAGTTTTCTCTGCAATAAGTTGAAAGCAATCTGATCCAATTGGTCTTCTCTGGAAAGAGTCTCCACGTGACAGCCAGAACAGTTCAATGTATGAATTAATAAGTGCTAATGTACCACCTACAGTATCTTTGAAGTGATTACATATTTTTCTCTGAAAACAACCCATCGTTCTCATTAACAGAAGACACAGGGCCATCTAGTGGCTCCCTGCTGCATCTGCCAAACTTTATTTCTGATTTAAAAGAGCCAAATCTCATCTCAATTTGACAGTGAGATTGTTTTGTTATAATGCTTCATGATTAACAGGATGTGAATGCATTATTGTTGTGTGTCGCAGCTATGAAAGGTGATCGGAAGCGTCTAAAAGTGGAGAAGTCAGACTTGATGAGTCAGATGCAGCAGCTGTACACAACACTGGAGAGCAGAGAAGAACAGCTGCGAGAATTCATACGCAACTACGACCAACATCGAAAGGTAGCAGCCCACTCCATTCATTATTTTAGGCTTACACTTTTTATAGGTGTATATATAAGTGCAGAAGAATTAAGAAACACTCCGTCACATTAGTTATCCTACAAATAAAGTACCTAAAGTCCACCTTTTTAAGCTATATACATGTTTCATGAATAGTTTATAACACACTATAGAGTATTTGTGATTAGATGGCAGATGTATAAATAAGAAGGACAAACAAAGTTGTTCAATTATAAATATGTATTCATTGAAGAATGTATTACTGTGAAATGTTACGTACATGAAGACACTTCATAAATACATGATGTGTTAAAAACCCTTATTTGAATTTGAGTGTGTCTCTGTGTGTGCTCGTTCTGCAGGAGAGTGATGACGCAGTGAAAGTCCTGGCAAAGGAGAAGGACATGCTGGAGAGGGAGAAGTGGGACCTGAGGAGGCAGACCAAAGAAGCCACGGAGCAGGCCAACATCTTGCGCTCTCAGATGGACATGAAGGAGAACAGGGTCAAAGAACTGGAGGCCGAGCTGACCATGGTGAGTCACCTTCACATAGACACAGTAACAGCGTGGTTAAATTAACAATTCAAACACACAAATGTCCCTTTAACATCAATATCTGGTTCATGAATGTAAACAAGGTGTTTGCAATCATCCTCCCTTTCTCAAAGCATGTATTCTCCGGGCTCTTTTCCTGTGTTGCTTGTCCCTCGGAGGTACAGTTGTCAGTCTGTGTGTCATTAATCTCTCTCCTCCCTCGGCGAGTCACAGCCACCCACAGATCCTCACATCAAGCTGCAGCACAGATCACATTTGTTGGTAAATCAGTGCTGCATCGCTGTCAAGAAACAGAACCACACAATGTTTTTCGACCAACTCTTCTCTTCTCTCCTCTTTTGTTCTATTGTGTTCCCTCATCTTCACTTCTTTTATCCCTAACAATAATCTTGTTGTTTACAAATGTTTCCTTTGCTTTTATTTAGAAGCTTTCACAAAAGAATCCTGAGAAAAACATGAAGTAGGATTAGAATATTGCCTGTTGGCTAACTTCAAAGGGTAGAGCTGCTGTTATTCAATATACAATATTTTGTTGTTGTCAACATTCCCATGAAAAGACCAAAACCAATAACGTGTCGCTCCATTTCTCAACACCTTCCATTTCCCTCCCTGCTGTGGCTCTTAGCCTCAAGCCAAGTTGTTTCTGTTGGATGCCTTAATCTTTATAGACAAGTGAAACGGGCAAACCAGGAGGAGATGATTTATTGGCTGGAAACAATTTTTTAACAGCGGATTAAAACACATTTGGTGCTCTATTGGGAATTTACAATATTGTTATTTTTATTATTATCCAGGAAAGGCTAATTGGATGCATAGAATTACATTTTTAATCTACAAAAAATATAAGCAATTTCATGTATTAGTTTCTGTTTCTTGTGTTTCCCAGGCAAAGCAGTCTCTGGCAACGTTGACGAAAGACGTACCTAAGCGCCACTCGGTTGCCATCCCTATGGAGCCGGTGGTGAACGGCAGTCAGGAGTGGGTGATGCAGGCCGACCTGCCGCTCACGGCCGCCATTCGGCAGAGTCAACAGACCCTCTACCACGGACACAGCACTGACAGACAGGGTGAGCTCTCCTCTCCACTCTGCTTCTTCATGCTGCTTGGTGTTGCTTTTACAGGCTAAACATACTAACACAGGGTTTTCCTGGAGATTTCCCATACTAACAGGGTTTTTTCTCAACATGTGTGAAAATATGTGTGTGTGGCACATCTAGCTGTGGTCAGGATCAGCCCCTGCCACTCTCGCCAGCCCTCTGTCATCTCCGACGCCTCGGCAGCCGATGGAGACCGCTCGTCGACGCCCAGCGACATCAATTCACCTCGGCACCGGACGCACTCCCTCTGCAATGTAAGAGCTGCCTGGCCCCCTCGAGCAAGTAATCACACCTCCACACTTTCTATAAGTACATCCCTCCTCTTCGTCTTCTGCTGTTTGTGTCTGTCCCTCTGTTCTGTCGGCCTGCTGGGTGTCAGCCTGCCTGCTGGCTGGTGGCGCTGATGTTATTTTGCATTTAAGTCACTTGAAAGCAACATATGGACATTTTGGGAAATATGCTTATAATTCTTCCTGCTGAGGAAGACAGCCAGCAGCCCGACTCCAAGTAGTTACCGTGCAAAGCCAAGAAGCAGTCCAGCACAGAACAGTGTGAAATACACATATGGTTCCTTTTACAATAAGATAAAATAAGATGTACTTTATTAATCCCAATTTGGGAAATGTTTTCGTTGGAGCAGCATACAACAAAACAAGGCATTGCACATAATACAAAAATGTTAAGAGTAGAAATAAACAATTCTAAAATATAAACATCTCAAAATAGAAATAGAAATAAACCAGCATTAGAGAGTTACACAAATACAGATGTTACACTTAGGTGTTAGATACTTACTTGTAAATCAGTGAGCTTAAAGCAACAGACATTGGATTTTTGTGATTTACGATGCGTCAGAGTACAATACACTTATACAGCTAAATAAGGACAGCTGTAACGTCAAAGGCATTTGTCATGATTTTCTTTATTGCTTAAGATAAAAAAACAGAGAGTTGATCACTTTGTATACACAGCCGAACGTAAAGCAAATGGAACAACGTAAGACATAGCAACCTAGCTAATATTACTTACCCTGCTCATTGCCTGCTTGTCCTGCTCCTGGCAAATCCACTGTTAGCTGCTGACTTCATATTTACTGTACAGTAATCATTTATTCAACCAGTAATAACATGAATAAGCACATTTCCCAAAATGTCGAAGTATTTATTTAACTCTGTATGAGAGGACAGATTCAAGCTTCCTGTGTGCTCTGCCCCGTTCAGTCCATGGAGGATCTGGAGGACCAGAAGCGTAAGAAGAAGAAGGAGAAGATGACTCTGGGATCTCTGTCGCGGGTTTTCGCTCGAGGCAAGCAGCGCAAGTCACTGGAACCCGGCCTGTTTGATGGTACAGCCACCCCTGATTATTACATAGAGGAGGATGCCGACTGGTGATGCTGAGTGTGTGAGCCTGCGTGTGTGTGTGTGTGTGTGTGTGTGTGTGTGTGTGTGTGTGTGTGTGTGTGTGTGTGTGTGTGTGTGTGTGTGTGTGTGTGTGTGTGTGTGTGTGTGTGTGTGTGTGTGTGTGTGTGTGTGTGTGTTAAATGTGTGTGGATATCCACCTGGCTTTAACTGTGTGTAAAGAGTGTTTGTGTGTGAAGGTGGGAGGCGGGTACATTTTAAAAGAGAAGCCTGAAAGAGACTGCTATCCCCTTAAATGTACAGTATATCGCCCTTAAATTGTATGTTTGTAAATTAGATATATATTTATAGATGTACATGTATGCATATGTATATATGTTTACATGCGTATAAATATATACATGGGGTTACTATTATGTGTAGACATGTTAATGCTGTATTATCTTCCAAATGTCTTTAATGTTTTGTTTTTTTATAACTGGAGACTTGAAGGACTGCTGTTCATATGTAAATACTGTAGGAGTTATTGTGAATCTAGTGTTTTTAATGTAAGTATCATTTGGCTTTTGTTACTTTACAGTTGCTTTTTTTATGCTTTGCTACATTGATATCTAATGTTCTTCTTATTCCCACTCTTGGCCTATTTCTTATTATGAAAAATATATTACCTGATTGGCTTCAAAAGAAATTCATCACTTGGAGCTATAATTGGCCAAAGTCTGTGGTTTTATGAAAAATAATACTTAGTTTGAGAGGCATTGTTGGTACATTGTTGCTATCAAGATTTTTTTTTATAAATGCTGGCTCACAGTATTTAAACATATGTGGGTGGCAGGGATTTTTTTCATGAAGGTTTCTTTTTGAATTTTATGATTAACTTCATATTATCAGTTCCTATAAATAATAACTGGCCAAGGGTTTAAAGGGCAAACATCCTTAAAAAATATAGTTGCCCGGACCTGAGTGCAAAAACAAAATATGAACAGTGATGCTTAGTCAGGCACACCTCTGCTCTGCACTGCAGTAGAAACACATGTGCAAGTGCCAAAGGTTAAACAGTCATCTTTAGAAGACCTGCGTATCATTCTGTCACTGTTAGCACTAGCCTATCATTGTTTATGTCTGACTCATATCTTACTGAGTGCTATCTAACATGCCAATATAAGACGAAGGAATGTGCATTACACACCTGCATGATCCCTCTTTGTTGCTTTGATTAGATGTCCATTCATTGCCAATCAAATTAATAATATCCACAACCTTGTGTTGCTCCTGTGTTACCTTTCCCCTTAGCTGAGTTATCTCTCCTTGCATTATGAATGCACGGTCCCTTTTGCCTTTTTTTTGTTGCTTTGTGTAGAATCCCTCCTCATTTATGCAAATGTGGCTCTAATAATTCTATGTTAAATGCTTTGTAATTTAGGAGATGTTGCATAAAAGATTAAATCTATTGAAGTATTTTATTTAAAAGACAAAAAGTAGAGGTAACTTCAAATATGTATCTGCTGCAGCTGTTGCAGCCAGATGTCGAGGAGGTTTTAGCATTTACAAAAATGAATTATAATTGAAATGAAATCTTATTTTAAAAATAAAACTAGTAACTGAATACATCCTATGTGGCAGTTTTCTGTTCCATGAGTAATCTTGTTCTTGTGTTAATGTGTCTGTCCCTCTCCTCCTGCCATTTCTAATGGCAGCTCTCTCCCGCCCGTGAGTAACTCCCCATCTGTGAATACCTGCTGTCTGTTCTGCACTCTGGGGATTATTCATATCACTCAGGTCCATTTAAAAAAAAAAAAAGATCCATGTATTACAAACGTATAATTTATCTTTAAATAAAAGAAGCGGTGGACTTTGCATGCAGCGTTTCTGTCAGCATGTGGAGACGAGTCAGGTAAACACGCAGAGTTCATCCTGGATTTGTTGGTTCAGTATGAATCAGTGTTTTCCTGCTGTTGAGAAAGGTGGTTAATGGGCAGGAGCATGATGTTATATGAATAATCCCTGTGTCTCTAATACATTCTCCGAATGGTCTAAAGTCTCTTCATAATCATCAGATAGTTACTTTTGTTACATAGTATTTTAACAACTTCACTACACTTGTTATAGAACTCACTGGACCGCTACGCTCTCATGAAACATCTAAATGGGTTGTATTTCATATGGACTTCAGGTTTAGATGGACACAACTATATCGTTTTGTTTATGTGATGTCTTAGTTGGTAAGCTAATTCAAAATACATAAGCGTCATTCAAAGACACAGGAAGTGAAGTTTCAAATAATTATTCTGGCTCCACCTAGTGGCAATTCGGTGGCACTTAACACATTTAAAAACGGTTTAAACTACTTTTCATCCAGTTTACTCTGACTCTGATCAATAAATAAACACAAGCAGAAGGCAGAAATCCAAATGCCTGTGGACAAGAGATTCTAATATCTTACTCCAGCAAGGATTTTGCGGCTCTGTATCGTTACACCTTGAAGTGGGGTGTCTGTTTTATGTAAACACCCACTGATTTTGATGTTAACCCTTCTCCAGAAGAGTCACTTCTTTTGATTTCCATATCCCTCTGACCCTGAACCCCTCCTGTATGCCACACCATAACTTCTCCTGACCAATCCAGACTCTGACAGCCTCACACAGCAGAGCCTGTCTGACGGAGAGGAGCAGCTGGATCGCCTCCAGCAGGCCGAGCTCACCAGAAGCACATGCATGTCGCAGTGGAGGGCAGGTGCAGTGCAGGCCTGGCTGGAGGTTGTCATGGGGATGCCCATGTACATCCGAGCCTGCTCTGAAAACGTCAAAAGTGGCAAGGTACGCCTTTGGTAAAAGTGGCTTTTGTTTGCTTTGTGGTTGAGAGTGCGGTATCAGGCTGTTCTTGTTTGATGAAGACCTGTATTTGTGCTCTAGGTGCTGCTAGGCCTGACAGATGAGGACTTGGAGCTGGGTCTGGGTATCGGTAACCCAATTCATCGCAGAAAACTGAGGCTGGCCATTGAGGACTACAGGAGAGCTGAAGGAGACCAAGGGTGAGCTGCAACAAATGAAACACTGAAAAACATTTAGTTGTTGTATAAAAAGTTTTCTTTATTAAAGTAGACTTAATAAAGTACTGTAATTAAGGACTTGAGCATTGTCTTTACATACTACTTCATACTTCTACTCCAATACAATCCAGATTTAAATATTGTCCTTTTTGTTCCATTGGATTTATCTGACAGCTTTAGTGTGCAATAGATATTTAAATATAATTAACCTAACTTTATCATATAAAATAGTTTAAATTCTACAACATATCCAGAACTCTGCTGCCCGCCTCCTCACCCACACCCGCTCCCTAGACCACAACACTCCCGTCCTCCAGAACCTCCACTGGCTCCCCGTCCGTCAAAGAATCGACTTCAAAGTCCTCCTCATTACTCACAAAGCCCTCAACAACCAGGTCCCCCCCCCCTACCTCACAGACCTGCTGCACCACCACGCCCCTTCCCGCTGCCTCCGCTCATCAGAAGCCAACCTCCTATCCATCCCCACCCGCACCAATCACCGGACCTGGGGGGACAGAGCCTTCTCTGCTGCTGCCCCCTCCCTCTGGAACTCACTCCCACAACCCATCAGAGACTGCCCTGACCTCACCACCTTCAAAAAACTTACAAAAACTCACCTCTTCAATCTGGCTTTTAATCTGTGATTGTTGTTATATTGCTTGATTTAAATTTGACTTCAACTATATTTATTTGTTGTTCTTTTCTTTTCACTATCTCTGTAAAGCGACTTTGAGCACCTGTAAAAGCGCTAACAAAATAAATCCATTATTATTATTAAATTATTAGTAAAATCAATATCATATTTAATAGTATAACATTATCAGAGACCATTTGTAAGCATCATTGGCACTTGTTTGAGACTGTAATTATATTTAGTTTATGATATTTGTAATTCACGACTTAACCTTGTCAAGGGTTTTTTCACAGTGTTGTGTTGCTCCTTTCACTTCAGTACATTATATTAAATGTTTTACCATCATTTGTGGTGTCTAATCATCTTCCAGGCTATCCAAAGCGTCTGAGTTGGACCATCACTGGGTTGCCACATCGTGGCTGAATGATGTGGGGTTGCCTCAGTACTCGCAGACCTTTCAGACCCATCTGGTGGACGGCCGGGTGCTGAACTCTCTGAGCCGCAGAGACCTGGAGAGATTACTCAACATCAGTGACCAGTTCCACCTGACCAGTCTCCTCCTGGCTATCCAGCTCTTGCAGATACTCAACTTTGATAAAGAGGTCAGATTATTCAACAAAATTCTCATGAGATTAGAAGAAATGTATTGATAGTTCCTCGACTACCCTCACAAAACTACACATGATTTTCATTATTATCCACCAGACCTGTAGCTTGAGTGCATGATCTCCGCAGCCTTCATCCTACCCTGACCTCATTCTGTATGTCTTCAGACACGGCCACACAAGAGCTTGGGCATTAAATGATGTTGTCTTTTTGCAGGCCCTGCAGGCACAGCGGGCAAAATGTGAGGACCAAGACCGAGAGCCCATTGTTTGGACGAGTCACAGAGTAATGAAGTGGATCAGAGACATAGACCTCAAGGTGGGTGGTATGTCAGGGACGGTATCTCCCATTGCTCCGGAAATTTTTGGTGCAGATTGGATGCAGATACCACCCTCTTGTGTTGCCACATCACTGCTGAAACAATACAGAAGAAAACACAATAGAGAAAATAGCAAAAAATCATTTTGGAGTTTTTTTTTACCCATCATTAGACACTCATTCTTCTTGTTATGACCAGCTTATTTTTAGTTAACTTTTAGCTCTTGGCAACAAACAAAACGTTTTGTTTTAGCTCGGCCATGACTGTGGTTGGCTGATATTTGCGATATAATGTGACCTTTCTACCAGTATTGTTTCCTGCAGGACTGTATGTAAAGTCTGACGTCTGTGTGTGGGTTCTCTATGTGCTCCTCAGGAGTTTGCAGACAATCTTCAGGGTAAAGGGATTCATGGAGCTGTGATGGTTCTGGACCCGTCCTTTGACTCAAACGCCATGGCAAAAGCTATTGGGATCCCCAGCAACAAGCACATGCTGCATCGGCACCTGTACGAAGAGATGAAATCCCTCGCTGTCCCTAACAGGTAGATTAAAACCCTGTGTTGGTGCACAATGGTTACTCTTTGTTCTACTCTTTAAAGCAACATGTGATTGTGTTCTATGCCATAAAACATATATCCATTCCAGTTGTCTTCAAAAATACCAGGATCTTGTAACCCTGTGAAATTAATGTTATTATCTAAGGATTACATTTAAACATCATGTACATACATTCATTTGTAATTCCTTGTATTCACAGCAGTGCAGAGCAGGGCACTGAAGTGATCACTTCTTCCTCACCTGTGGCTGTAAAGAGCTTTGCTGAGGAGAGGGTGTCGATGAGAAGATCAGGCAAGGTATCATTTCATTTCACAATCAAATCATATTATAGGAGCAGATATTGTGCATACATATACAAATATATATTTGTTCAGTTTTGTTTTAATGCACCTTTAGCAGCTGCAATTTCCTCCCAAACAACACATGCATGAATACAGAAAAAAAGGCAAGTCTAAGTTTTAGAGAAAGTTCCTTCCTCATGTAGGATGTTTTTCCTCATGGGAGTTGATGTTGACAATGGGATTTCGAAAAGGGGGGCGAAGTAACAATGTTTCAAGGTTTGGAAAGGTGACAAATCTAGGAAATGGGAATTGTTTGTCGCAGCATGATTTAACAATATGGATATAAAAGAAGTACGTGTAGAGTGATTAAAAGACCATGACTGTATTTATTTATCCACATTAGTGAGTAGTCTGCAATGTAGTGTTCGTTTTTAGACAGTCTCACTTCTATTTAACTGACAATATGTGGATTTGATTATTTTCTTGATTTGATTTCTGACTTTGAGAAATAAAATCCACATTTTGTTTAATGTCCCTTTATTTTCCCAGAGTCCGCTGAGGTTACGTGCTAGCAGCCAATCTGTGGAGCGCGGTCTGGGCTTCCACGGTGGCTGCGGCTCCCCGCCCCGAGAGGCCCGGGTCCAGGCCGTCCCGCGGGCCAGAGGCAGCCCCATGCACACCTTCAAGAGTGTAGAAATCACCAACGTGTGATCAGCCATCCAGATTGCTCACACTGTTACCATTGTTGACATTGTTATTGTATTATAGTTGTTTTCTACTGAGAGTGACCTACACTCGGCATCGTTGGACTTTAAAGATGAAGTCTTAAAAGGGATGTACCCCTTAATAATTCCAATATATTATTATTTTGTCCAATATAAAAGCAAAACTTGAATAGAAACAAAGATCATTTTGACCTGATAATTGTAAATATAAGGAAGAGGGAGATAATTTAGTTTGTTAGATTTCCAACTAAATGTCCGGATGAGTTTCTTATGACAAGTTTATAGAAGGCTGTTGTGACCTGGCTCAAAAGGCCACAACAAAGAGGAGACACACCATATCAACGGTTTAACAAAATATGTTTATTAAAGCAAGTGGTTCAAATTAGCCAAATGAATTAAGTGCAAAGCAAGTAAAGCATGAGGTGTGGATGTCAGTGGTATCAGTAATGTAAATTCAGGGTGAGGATTGCATGGACATGTATGAGTGTTGAAGTGCACGAAGTGAATCAAATGAAGAAACTCATAGCATACCCAACCGAAACCGGGTGCCTGTAGGAGAAAGCAGAGGGCAAACAGAGAGGAGCAGAGGCTTTAAATAGCTGCAGGGCACCAGACCCAGGTGCCCTGAGTTACTGCAATCAAGGCAATCAAGACAGCACAGCCACACCCTCTCTAGATGAACCCACAGGGGCATCACAAAGGCTTACATTTTGATAACCTCCAAAAATAGCTGAAAACAGTGTTGTTCTTCTTTGATGCCTTATACAAACAGGTCTCACAGCACTGTTGTGTCCTGCTCTAACTACTTCTTACATTAAATTAAAAATAATACGTGAGATGTAGGAAAAAAAGTCATAACACATTTTACGGTAGAGATACATATCCTCTGTTATTCTTTTGAGGAGACATGAACTGTGTGCACTGTGCAGTCAGAAGCCCTACACTGAGGCGTTATCTGTAATCATAAATGTTATTAATACTGCAACAAATAGTAGTCCATTTTTTATATTTTGGAAAGTTAAAACTGGTAAAAATCCATATTTTTCTTACAGTTACAATATGATTTCATTTAATTAAAGAACAGCTTTTCTTTTGGTTTTCATTGAATGTAAATGTTTTGAAATTTGTATTGAAAGAACATCCCACAGTATAGATGAAACACACTGTTGAATGTTGAGTTATGAAGGTGATAATGTGTAAAGATTTAAGCAATTGATACATGTTTATACTGTATAAGCAGTAAGCACGGAAGAAAGGGAATTCTGTGACTTATATTATAAAGTAAATAGAGAGAATGTAATGGTATATTTTGTAAGGTTTAATCATGTTTTACAACACACAGTAACGTTTCTTCCTGAGCATGAAAACTCACGTGTGAGATATACAAATAGAAAACAGGTTTTCTGTGACTTTCTGGGCAACTGGTTTATTAACCAAGGGCAAACTTGTATAAGCGGGAATATTAGACCAGTTCAAACCTGTATGGAAACAGAAGGAAAGTCAAATGGTGTTTGCTATGATGTTTATCTTCCCCAGCTGTCAGAGATTTCATGTACATCGACATTAAAGCTGAAATGATGGTCAACTTATCTATCACAGCCCTGTCATTGTTATTTTTCAAGACAACTTCATTTAAGTCTCTCATAAACATTAACCAAGGGATTCATTATCCTATGAAAATGTTGAAGTGACATGGATTTGTAGTGCAGATAGGGCTATTTCAGAAACATGGCCGAAAGTGACCAAGAGTCATGTTAGTCACATAGCTTTTTGAAAAGATTTTGACTTTATTATTGCATCAAAAATACGTTTTTCATTTTGTTCACATAGGATTGAATGATTGTTTAACCTTTAAGTGAGTCTGAGACGCATTCACACCTTAGAGAACCATATCAAGGATACCTTTAATTAAACAAGACCAAAAACAAATATAAAGGAACCTTTTGCACACACAAAAAACCTCATGATAGCCAGAACATAGTTCAATTATTAACAGCCACAGTTGAGACATTAAACCCAAAACCATTTGGTCCCCTGATCTCTATGGGATGTATTTGGTAACAGCAATTGACAAAATCATTCTCACCACAAAAAATCTACTAATATCCAGCTTTTTATAGAATCCTACCTTCCTTCTCAGCAGATGTGGTTTGCCTAGTGTTAACACATTTTTAAGCAATAATTTGTATACTGTACATGTTGAAATTAAATAAAAAAGGGAGATTGAGCATATTCATCTCCAAAAAAACGTGTCAACTTCATCCGCTGATGAAGATTGTGTGAAACCATCGATCTGATGTGAAGCCACAGCTACTGTTTTTGTGAGCTGTGTACTCTTGATGTTCGTGAAGATACTATAAATAATATGAGCTGAATAATATTGGCTGCATTTATGTATCTGATATGATATATGGTCAAACAAAAGAAGCTGGTTGAAGACTACTGGAATATTTTAGATATGTTGTATATAATGGACTATTGCATTAAAAAAAGCAATAGATGGATTTATAAATATCTGCAAATCACTGCAAAAAAAATAAGATAATAATAATTGTTTATTTTAGAAATATTCTGAATGAAATTAGGTCATACATAACATTAAAGTGTTGACTAACTACCTTATCTTTGTTTTGTTGTAATATATTGTTTAATTGTTCTGTTTCCGGGTGTGTCCTTGTCCCACTCACCTGTCCCCAGAGGACATTCAGGGGCGGCGCTAGGACCATGCGGGGGACAGACCGTCGGTACAACCAGGGGAGGGAGGTTTCACTACGACTGGAATTTGAACAAAGTTCTTCTTAAAACATTATTACCTGTAGCGGCTAACTTTTTATTTATGAATAGAGCGCTTTTTTATTTAAAATCTCAGTTGAACAGGGCGTCGGTTTTTCGCGTCTATGTCGTCTTCCTCTTTTCTCGTGAGATCTTCCTGAAAACACCTGCGTGCTTCAGGTAACTCACCAGTGAGGAGTGAAGTTTCTGGGCAGTGAGCGGCGGAAAGGTAAGGCCTCTTCCAGATCTCCTCCACAAGGTTAGACGATCAACACTATCAGATTCACCAGAGCCAAGAAATGCGATGTGAATTTATTTTTATGTTTTTGTTTTGTTTGTGTGCGGATACATTTAGTTTTTAGTGCTGCTCCATTGAGGGGACGTGTCCTCCCTCTGAGGTCCCTTACTACTTCACAATCAATAAAACCGCTTGCTGAACGACGTAAACACTCGAGAAATATTTCATTTGTTGTAGCAAATAATGTTACCCATTTGAAAGCCTAAAAGAAGCAGACGGCAGGCCTGTCATTATAGAAGGATATGCTGCTTTTAATGCTGGCAATGTCCTGATGTTGAACAGGACACACCCATGCACACCGCCCAGCCATTAACATGCAGGAAAGATCAAGTTTTTTTGTGATAAGAAAAACAACTGTATAAAGGATACAGAAGGTCAGCATGCAAACTAACACAATTACAGACAGACTACAGCAGCACCATACAATCTGGTTACCATGTTTTGCCTTTATTATGGAGGTTGTACAGCAATTATGGTTATAAATGAAATGCAGGTCATCAACAGTGCATGTAGTCCATCAGTTATCCTGGTGTTTTATTCAGTGATCAGACATACTAAAGAAGGGCTGCACAGATCCAGCTGTTTTCTCTCGTCTTATTTACTGTAGAGAAACCTAACAATACTGAATCAATAGCATTACTTCCTGTGTTACAGACATACTCTGTTTTGCATGAAACATTTATATATGGTAAACGTGGGAAAGGGATGTCATTGAAAACCTGAACCATGACTTCCTGAAAGTGACTGATTGTAGAATTGTGTAGTCATTTCAGAATTAATATTTGCTCTATTTAATAAAGACGGTACTTCTCCATGTAGTAATGTAGTGTATTGGATCAGAGCAGTTGCACCGGGTATTGTACTTTATTAATAACCACAGAAAGTGTGTTTGAGAATCACAATATTATCAAAACATGATATATTACAATAGGACACATTCACACATGCAAAATAAACTCTTCTATTCAAATACATTTTCTTAAGTCAACAATAACAGCAGGACATTTAACACCTGACTTTAGTTTTCAGGTGAGGCCTTGTTGTTACAATAACAACTGTCCCCCTCAAACAACAGCTGGGAGGAACTTCAATCACTCTGAGGCAAAGGGACATCAACAACCAATAAATGTAACAATCTAATACATTTAAAATACTTTTTAAAACAACATTAAATTAAAACAACTCAATATTAAAATAATTTAAAAAATGGCCATACACAGCAAGAAAATAGTTTAGTTAATGTGTTTAATATTGTACACAAAATACCACATTATTAGTATTTACAACACAGACCTATGTTATCTTATAGACATTTCAATATCAATGAGACATGTAATAGTCTGCAAGAAAGGAACTAACGCCAGCTTCAGTATCACACGTGAATACACTGTGATTCTGGTGCCTGTGTATCAATATAGTTCAGGATCCTATATTAGATTTATCTGGCTTCCCTGCCCTTCCCATCATTTCTTTGTCAGAATAAGAGGAAGTTTAATTGCAGGGTGTGATCCTTACTAAGGGTTGGACTAATTAATTTGCATTTTGGCAAATTGGTCACTTGCTTGAATACTTTCCTCTTTAATAATAAATCAAAATGCCATCAGTTCATGTGTAAACCCAACTTGTGTGTCAATCCTGTCCTGAGTATAGAGCAGCTGCCGGCCAGATAATGATATAATTTTTAACGGAAATACTTACTTTAATTTATGATGTACATACAGTAGATCTATACAATTTTATTTGACACATTGTCAGTTTACAGAATTGCTAATCCCACCACACAGCTAATACACTTGGGGGAACACTAGGATGGATCTGTGAATAATTATATTCTGTACTATAAATATACAGCCCTGTAATTGTTTGTGCTTACCCTTAAGGTTATGGTTAAACATTGCTAATGGTGTTCCTCAAGGTTCTGTTTTAGGTCCACTTTTATTCTCCATATATATCAACAGTTTAGGTGAAAATGTGGATGAAGCTACTTTACATTTTTATGCTGATGATACCGTGATGTATTGTGCAGGTCCCTCCATTAAGGAGGCTGGTGTTAAATTACAGGCTGTTTTTAACATTATTCAGACTCAGCTCTCTGAACTTAAGCTTATTTTAAATGTTGATAAAACCAAGGTAATGCTATTTTCAAAAGCTAAAAAGACACCAGAGCCTGTTTTGGATATTGTTACTATGCAAGGACAAGTACTTGAAGTGGTTACCAGTTATAAATACCTAGGTATCAGGCTTGATGATTGTCTTACTTTTAAACTTCATGTCAATAACCTGCTTAAAAAGCTGAGGGTTAGACTAGGTTTCTTTTTCAGAAACAAGTCCTGTTTCTCTTTTGAAGCCAGGAAAAGGCTAGTCACTGTGACCTTTTAACCTGTGCTGGACTATGGTGATTTGTTGTATATGAATGCACCTGCCTATTGCCTGAACAAGTTAGATGCCGCCTATCACAGCGCACTGAGATTTGTCACAAATTGTAAAGCACTTACTCATCACTGTACCCTGTATGCCAAGGCAGGTCTGCCATCACTTACTGTAAAGAGGCTCAGTCATTGGTACACGTTTATTTATAAAGCTTTGTTGGGTAAACTCCCGTATTACATCTGCTCTCTGATAACACAGAGAGTTGCAAGCAGCTATTGTCTGAGATCGCATGATGTAGTATTGTTAGATGTGCCAAGAGCAAGGACTGTTTTACAGTAGGTAAGACAGCTTTTATGTGCGCAGCAGCTCCACTTGCTTGGAACAGTCTTCAGCAAGAATTGAAACTGAGCAATCTCATTCCTCTGCATGTTTTTAAAGCTAGGCTAAATGAAATGCTCGTTGATACTATGGCCACTTGTAAATGTATAACTATGTAAATGTATCCTGTAAATATAATGTATGATGTCCTTTATTGTTTTATGTTTCATGTGGAACCTATATGCTGCAGGTCTCCCTTGAAAAATAGATATATGATCTCAATGGGACCAATCTGGTTAAATAAAGGTTTGAAATGAAATGAAATGAAAAGGTAGTTCAGTTTTAATAGGTGCCTCAGACACTGATATGTTTTTATTTCCAAAGCTTTTCTAGCTAGCTACTTATCTTCTATATATTTGTTTCAAAATATTGAAAATGGCGTTTCCAAAGTCAGGACAGGTTGAGTAAAGAATGTGTTTTACTTTTTTTTCCCGCACCTATTGCATGGAAGAATCTACAGAATGTTCCTAAAATTCAAAGCATGGCAACTCCTAAACGTGTTTATGTAAGGATGATTAACTCTTAAACTTTACAATAGGTGCAAAAAGAGAGATAGGCTACTTACTGTGAACAACCTATTTGTTGTATTTCCAGCTGACTCTCTGTATCACAAGGTCAACTCATTTATCATCCATGTCACCTCAAACATTTGCCCTGAAGTGTTCACATGTAATTCTCTCCTGCAGCCATGAATTTATTTTACTGGAAACAACCATTACTTCAGACCAGCAAACAATGAGTTTGCAGTTTGAACGTGTTTACTATCTGATGCA